ATTTGTGTATAGATTTAATTCAGTTATCTTGAATTATACCTGGAAGTAGACAAAGTATAAATAGGGTAGGGAGCTGTGTCAGTGTGCAGTGCTGGCTGCGAGAGAGCAAGTCGGGTAATTCCAGGTTGTCAAGTCAAAAGGAGAACCTGAGGTGGACTCCATCGGTGATACTGGTCATTAGGCATTTATTAGTAGCTTTTATTTAGATTGGCTAATAAGCCAGAGGGTGAACTGCACGGAGTCATTCAGAACAGGTTTTCATGCTAAACATCACTATTCCAAGAGGTCAAGAAACATACCTGGGAGAAAGGGAGTGAGTCAGAGAAAAGCAGGGTCCGAACTCAGACCTCAGATATTTTCCATAACCTTTGAGCCTGAAATTCAAACTCCTTTCTGTATGATGAATGTGTTTTTTTCTGTCTCAACAGCTTTCAAGTGGAAATCCTGTCTATGACAAATATTATCGGCAGGTAAGGGTCAATTTTGGGCGGCATGCTTCTTTTGTGATTAGTGCCTTTATATCCTCACGTACCGTATATCAGATGAGCAGCAGAGGTTTCGCTGAGGAGTCTTGACTTGTTTGAGTCATGCAGTGCTTCTGTGCACATGGAACCTTCTTATGAATTAATAATAACCCTCCTCTCATCTTCCTGTATGTCTTGAAATCAAGGGAGAGAAGGAAATTAGTGATAACCTCTAGTAACAAACATCTGAGTTTATTCCACCAGGCATTATGCCCCCCTCTTGTTGAATGCTAATTGAATTTAATTAAACCAGTTACATGCCCACAAGTGTGAAATAGCTGTGTGAAAAATGGATATCAACAGTTGCCTTAAATACTTTCCCAATTATGACAATTTTTCTTCATTTTTAAAATATTTTCCTGGTTGTGCAAGCTCATGAAGGTGCCAATTCATTGACTTTGTTTCTGCAGTTCCAGTGTTTAGAAGCTTATGGATTATGCATTTAAAGAGTACAATCAATATAATCCGGACAGGACTCCAAAGTGGTTATTTTATACATGTGACTTTTTGCTTCCATTCATCCATTTAACTGCTTTATGTAATACATTGTCTCAGGTGTGCTGGAGCCTATTGATTTTTCGAAACTAAGCAGATAAATGATGGTGATGAGACATGTTAATGACTAGCTGTTGGGGCTGGGGCAGACCTGTTCAATCAGGCTTGAGTGAAGCCATGTTGCCTGTCCATGCAACAGGTGTAAGGCACTCTACGGATGTGTCCTACGTCTGCTCTGGTACATTGCTGGGATACA